TGCCTCACCAAGCACGCCTCGCACACGCGCACGATGGGCGTTTGCGTCCTCCTCGCAGCGGTGCTGGCCTTGGGCTGCTCCGCCCTCACCCTCTGGCCTGCCGGTGCGCACTGCGGAGGGGGGGGGGAGGGGGGGCGGCCATCCGCTCAGCGCCTTACATGCTAACGCCTAGCCCCCCTCGTACGCGCAGGCGCGGGCGCCGCGCTCCTCGCGACCAACCTCCTGCCGGCGCCGCTCGCGGCTCTCCGCTCGGACGCCATCGTGCACGAGATGGAGACGGCCGACACGATCATGGGCGAGGCGCAGAAGGACTCGGCCGAGGGCTCCACCGCTGCGGCTGGCGCCGAGAGCCCCGTCACGTTGAAGAGCATCATGGCCGAGTTCGCGGCGTTCAAGAGCGACATGCAGAAGAAGGAGCAGGAGGTGCAGAAGAAGGACGAGGCGTTCAAGGAGGAGATGAAGAAGAAGGACGCGGCGTTGGCTGACTTCAAGGAGGAGATGAAGAAGAAGGACGAGGCGTTCAAGGAGGAGACGCAGAAGAAGGACGAGACGTTCAAGGAGGCGATGAAGAAGAAGGACGAGATGATCGCCGAGCTACTCGCCGCGCTCAAGAGCAAGACGGAGCACAAGCAGGTCCAGATGTCGGCCGGCGGCGAGGTGGTCGAGCTGGTGAGCGCCGCGGAGCTCAAGGCGGTGGAGGCGCGCGTGCAGGCTGCTGAAGAGCGCGTCGAGGAGTGCGTCGCTCAGAACGCCGCGCAAGACGCCAAGATCGGCGCGCTCCGCGACAAGCCGGCCCCGCCCAACCCGCCGGCGGCCGCGGCTCGCCCGCCGGCAGCGGCGCGGCGGCAGCTCTCCTCCGCGACTGGCGACGAGACCGAGTTCGCCATCACGGGGAGGAAAGCGACGCTCTCCTTCAACAGCCGCACGCCCGACCTGACGGCGACCCGCCTGACCGGCGAGGGAGGCGGCAAGCTGACGTGCAGCGGCGAGCTGCACGCGACGGACTTTGTCACGGCGGACGGGGAGAGTGTCACCGAGCGGATCGAAGCGCTTCGCGGAAATTTCACTGAGTTCGTCACGGAGCAGCTGAAGGACGGTGTCTCGCAGGGGCTCGCGGGCGTGAGCGAGGAGCTCGAGGCGGTTCGCAAGTTTGTGGGCATGGTGCCACCGTCGCCTCCGTCGCCTCCGTCGCCGCCGCTTGCGCCGCCTCTGGTAGCGCCGCCTCCGACCTTTCCGCCAGCGTGCGTTTGGTCGGATTGCACAGTTGAGTCCCTCAACCTCGCCGAGACCAACCCCAACCTGAAGGGCTTCCAGGGCGGCTACGTCACTGACGCACACGCCTACTACGTGCCGTACTACAACGACGCGTACAACGGCTACGCGGCGCGCGTCTCGCTCTCCGACTTCTCCTCCTCGGGCGTCGAGTACTTCAACCTCGCCGACAAAAACTCAAACCTGAAGGGCTTCCGTGGCGGCTTCGCCACCGACGCACACGCCTACTACGTGCCGTACTACAACGTTGCGTACAGCGGCTACGCGGTGCGCGTCTCGCTCTCCGACTTCTCCTCCTCGGGCGTCGAGTATCTCAACCTCGCCGACACCAACCCCAACCTGAAGGGCTTCAACGGCGGCTTTGCCACTGACGCACACGCCTACTACGTGCCGTTCAGCAACGACGGCGGGCGGAACGGCTACGCGGTGCGCGTCTCGCTCTCTGACTTCTCCTCCTCGGGCGTCGAGTACCTCAACCTCGCCGACACGAACTCCAACCTGAAGGGATTCGCTGGCGGCTTCGTCACTGACACACACGCCTACTACGTGCCTCAGTACAACGGCGCGTACAGCGGCTACGCGGTGCGCGTCTCGCTCTCCGACTTCTCCTCCTCGGGCGTCGAGTACCTCAACCTCGCCGACACGAACTCGAACCTGAAGGGATTCCGTGGCGGCTTCGCCACCGACGCACACGCCTACTACGTGCCGTCCTACAATAGCGCGCCAAACTTCCACGGATACGCGGCGCGCGTCTCGCTCTCCGACTTCTCCTCCTCGGGCGTCGAGTACCTAAACCTCGCCGACACAGACTCCAACCTGAAGGGCTTCGACGGCGGCTTCGCCACCGACGCACACGCCTACTACGTGCCGTTCAACAACGGCGCGAAGAGCGGCTACGCGGTGCGCGTCTCGCTCTCCGACTTCTCCTCCTCGGGCGTCGAGTACCTAAACCTCGCCGACACAAACTCCAACCTGAAGGGCTTCGGCGGCGGCTTCGCCACTGCCGCACACGCCTACTACGTGCCGCACCACAACGGCGCGTACAGCGGCTACGCGGCGCGCGTCTCGCTCTCCATCTAAGGAACTCAGGGGGTCGTCTGCCGCTTGTGTCCCTCCCCCCCGCCCCCATCTATTGGGAAGGCCTCTGCGCTCTGGGTCGTCCTGGGTCTCTTTCGAGGGTCTCTTGTAGTGGGTGCATTGGGTTGGGGTAGGCCTCTCTCTGCACCACGAGACAGTGGTGGACGGGAGGCGCGAACAGCGCCATCTTGGGTCTTCACGCCGACCAGTGGCTGCTCCCGTCAGTGACAAGGAAGAGGGGCTGAGTGGCCTTCTCAGCCGCCGGCCGCGCGTGCGTGACTCCGTCTACTGTTAACGAACCACGAGCCCTGGTTGCGCGTCGGCAGCAGAGAGTAAATGAGTATTCCACCGCCATACCGTTTTTATCGCGGGGATCAAGAAAGAAGCACGTCATGAAAAAGAAATTTGCGTACGTACCATCTCGGCGGGCGTTACGGATTCGAGCAATACCCAGGTCGAGGTCGATGCGCCTCTCGGTGCAGTGCTGCAGCATCGCACGCCTGTTGCGCGGGATGGAGCATCGACACTAGCCGGAATCCTGGCTGTTCCGGATGCGGGTCCGGCGGCATTTGCAGCGGCGTCTTTGCAGCTGCGAGCGCAGCGCGGTCAGAGACCGTCGGCCGGCGGTCGGCGCACGATGCCGCACAGCTGCGGCTGGAGTGGTGGCTGTGTCGGCATTGCAGAGACGCTGTCAACCACAACTCGGCCACTACCTGCAGCAGATGCGCGTCGAGCGTCAGGGAGATGACGCCATATGCAAGTCCAGCCGAGGTTGCAGCCCTCTCAGCCAACGCACAGCGCACCGCGTATGGTCGGAGACTCAAGAGTGTGCAGGGACAAGAGCAGCCTGTCGCTCTGGCTGTTGCGCAGACGCCGGGCAGCGCCGGCTACGCCAGCGCTGTTCTTGCCCAGATTGCGAGCTTTCAGCCTGGGTCGAAGCGGCTGGAGGCGATGGTGGAGACTCGTGTTTGCCTTTTTGACGGATGGCTCAGGCCTGTCGAGGCTGGTACCACGCTTGCCAGTGTGAGGGGTGTCGAGGGGTGTCGAGGGGTGTCGATGTGTGTCGATGTGTGTCGAGGGTGTCGAGGTGTCGAGCGGGTGTCGAGTGTTGTCAAGAGGCGTCTCTGAGGTGTCGAGGTGTCCAAGGTGGCAGGATGCAGTTGCAGCCCATCGACAAAACTTGGGCAGCAGTTGCAAAGCTGTTTCATCCCTTAGTTGCAGCCTCTCAGTTGCACCCTGTTGATGTAGCACAACCTGAGCACAACCAGTATACTCTCTGTGGACATTTGAGGACATCAAGTGCCGGGAGTCATTGCCACTGTGCACAAAGGTGCTGTGCAGGCGCAGCACCGCAGCAGCGTCGCCGCTGCAGCGTCGTCGCCCCTGCAGCGCCACTGGCGCACAAAGCGCAACTGACCACAGTGCTCCTTTCACAAGGCTGGTGCCATGAGTCAGTGGACATTGCCACTGCGCAAGGTGCTGTCCAGCAGCTACGGCCAGCGACGAACTGGCGTCCGCCAGACAGGTCGCCCGACGGCCCGTCCCAGTCTTGTGCGCCGACAGGTATCGGCACCCCGTTCTCATCTACCTTGGTGGCGTAGTGGGAGTGAACGATTTCCTGTCAAGATGGGCGGTATGGGCCTGACCAGTGGACATTCGTGAGGCGGCGTGGGTCGGCACGTGGGCCCTCGTCACGCGATACGCGAGCTGCACGAGCCATTCCGCGACCTCAACGTTGCCCTCGCGCCGGGAGAGCGTTTCGACGAGCTCCGGGAGGCTCACAAAAGCCTCCGTGCCAAACGCGACGACGTCGGCGCCACGTGGCGCAAGTGGGACGAGCGCACGCTGCACAAGGACGTCGTTGGACCCTTCCAGGAGACCGAGCTGGTGCGACAGCGCCGCTACCACCCGCCCAACCTAGCGCCGGCGGCGGAGCTGGCTGCTGCCTCTTTCGGAGTTCTCGTCTACCAACGAATTCTTACAGCAGGCGCAGCGACGGTACACCTCCGGCGTACACCATCGCAACTGGCTCGCCCTCGCCGAAGCTTTCGTCAGCGAGGCGTCCCAGCGGGGCGGCGCTGCAAGCCTGCCAAAGGCAGGAAGACTGGCAGGTGCAAGAACCACAAGTGCTGGCGCGAGGCGCGATCCGTTTCGTCGCAGTCAGCCAGGAGGGGGCTGGCGCCTTCCTGAATGCGATCCCCATGCGGGATGATATGAAGATGGAGACGTGGGCGATGCGCATTACAGCTCAGCGCCGCCTCGGCCTCCCGCTCGATGTTGCCTGCCAGGCGGTGGAGGCGGGCAAGAAGGCGCCCCCGAGCGGCAAGCCGCACGAAGAACTCGGCGATGCCGCAATGGTTAACCCGCGTGCAAAGCACGCTACAAGACACAAATTCCTACTCAAACGACTCGTCAAGACCCTTCGCTCGGCGTGGGGCATGCTCATCGAGATGGAGCCGATTGCACACCTCAGTTACAGTAACCCAAAACAACCTGACGTGGCGGCGGCGAACATCGGCGACGGGCATGTGCGCCTAGTTGGCGATGTTTAGGCCTTCTCAGCCGCCGGCCGCGCGTGCGTGACTCCGTCTACTGTTAACGAACCACGAGCCCTGGTTGCGCGTCGGCAGCAGAGAGTATTCCACCGCCATACCGTTTTTATCAAGAAAGAAGCGCGTCCGTAAAAGAAATTTGCGTAAAAAAGAAATGCGGGCGCGAACCCCCCCCGCTGGTTGTGCGTCCAAGATAGTCCGAGTCACGCAGGAACGGTCACGGGTCAGCACAGCGCCGCAGCGGGGGGTTCCCGGGGGAAAAGAATTTGCTCGCGTGAGAGAGATGCGGCGATCGCTCCACGAAAGCAGCTCAGCCGAGGTCAATGGCCGTCGACACCGTGCGCTGGACCGGCTCCCTCGAGAACACGGACACGTCGTCGTGGTCCGACCAGAGCCACTGGTCCGGAGAGCCGAACACCGCATCCCTGATCGAGATCTGCGGAGGCGTCACCGTCCGGGCCGCCCAGGCGCGCGCGCCTCTCGACGGGGGTCACATATGAACAGAATCTTGAGGCCACGCCCCTCGCCACCCCTCCCCGTCAGGCGAGCCGCGCGTCGGAGACTCTCTTGTGCGCGCCCGACTCCAACTGCACGTGCGGCGAGCCTCTCGGGGCGGCGGAGCCGGGCCTCGTGATCGTGCTCGAGGAGGGCGGGCTCTGCATCGGGCCCTTCTGCGAGGGCTTTCCGCCGTCCGCGCCACCGCCTCCGATCCCCCCGCCCTCGCCGCCGCCGCCGAGCCCGCCGCCTCCCCCCCTGCCGCCGCCGCTTCCGCCGCCGCCCTCCCCTCCGCCGCCCTCTCCTCCGCCGCCGTTGCCGCCCCCCCCCTCCCCGCCGCCGCCCTCCCCGCCGCCGCCCTCGCCGCCGCCGCCCTCCCCGCCGCCCTCCCCGCCGCCGCCCTCCCCGCCGCCGCCCTCCCCTCCGCCGCCCTCCCCTCCGCCGCCCTCCCCTCCGCCCCCCCCCTCACCACCGCCGCCCTCCCCGCCGCCGCCCTCGCCGCCGCCGCCCTCCCCGCCGCCCTCCCCGCCGCCGCCCTCCCCTCCTCCGCCCTCCCCTCCGCCGAGTCCGCCAGCCCCGCCCTCTCCTCCGCCGTCGGCGCCGCTGCCGCCGCTCCTCCCCTCGAGCACCCTCGTCGAGAGTGTGGAGCAGCTGCGCAGCCTCGTCGCCGCCGCCACGCCCGGCACGCCCCTGCTGCTGCAGCTGCAGCGCAACGTCCACTTCTCCCTCGGCGGCGAGGAGCTCGAGTGCACGGAAGACGTCACCCTCTCGATCCGGAGCAGCCCCGACGCGAGCGCCACCCTCGACGCGGGCGGCCGCTCGCGCCACTTCCTCGTCTCAAACGGCTGCCACCTCACGCTGGAGGGCGACATCACCCTCGTCAACGGCCGCGCGGAGAGGGGTGAGGGCAAACAGCCGGCACCACCTCGATGGCGCCACGGCGGCTCCCTCCTGATCGACGGCGCCACGGCGGTCCTCCGCGGCGTCACCATCCGCAACTCCTTCGCCGACGGGGACGGCGGCGGCATCGCCTCTCGGGATGGCAGCCGGCTCGACCTCAAGGGGGTGACGGTCTCGCGCTGCGAGGCGGGGAAGAGCGGCGGCGGGCTCTTTGCCGAGCAGTCGGAGAGACTCCAGATCAGCGACTCCGTCTTTGAGCTCAACAAGGCTGACAAGGGCGGCGCCGCGATCGAGTACGCCTCCGAGAACGCAGACAGCGTCGGCGCCACCATCGTCGCCACGAGCTTCAAGGGCAATGTCGGCAAGACGACCGTCAGCGCCAAGGCGCGCATCACTTGGATCTGCGAGCGAGGGCAGTACATGCCGCGCACGAGCGGCGACGGCGCGGAGGCCTTCACCGGCGACCTCAAGTGCTTCGACTGCGCCGCCGGCTTCTTCGGGAACGAGACCGACCTGAGCAGCCCCACCTGCAGCGGGCAGTGCCCTGAAGGCAACTTCTGCGAGCAGGGGACGGCAGACCCGACGCCGTGCCCCGCAGGGACGCGCATGCCGGCGCGCGGGGCGGCGAGCAGCGACAGCTGCATCCCGTGCGCCCCGGGGCAGTTCCAGGTGCACCCGCCACCATCCCGGTCGGTCTCTGTTTGGAAGAAGTAGGGTGTTGCAGTTGAAGTCCTTCCACTTAGCTCTCTACACCTTATTTCTGAAACGGAAACGCAGTACATGCCGTCCTATCCGCTCCCGTACGACGGTTGCGCACACACCCCAA